TAGCAGCATTTTGTAACCACTGACTGCAGAAATAAGAGTTTGCACGACTCACAAAGCCAGATCAGGAACATATTTCTCAGTCAGTCCCATATCTTCAGCCCCCTTCCTTACATGATTCTGAAGGAGCCTATAAACAGGAGGAGGAACGGCTGTTTACGAGGGTGGATGGTGATAGGACAAGGAGAATGGTTTTAAAGTGAGACAGGGGAGGTTTAGGTTGGATATGAGGAGGAAGTTTTTCACCCAGAGGGTGGTGAGGCACTGGCACAGGTTGCCCAAGGAGGCTGTGGATGCCCCATCCCTGCAGGCATTCAAGGCCAGGCTGGATGTGGCTCTGGGCAGCCTGGGCTGCTGGTTGGCGACCTGCACACAGCAGGGGGTTGGATTCAGATAAGCATTGTGCTCCTTTTCAACCCAGGCCATTCTATGATTCAGCCATGGTAAGTACCACCTCTGTTTGTAGCTGCAGCCTCTGCAATTTCCTTAGGTAAGTCACCACACTTTAGATTGAAAGCTGGGTGCAATGTATTCATAAAATCATAGAATGGCTTGGGTTGGAAGGCACCTCAAATCACCTATTTCCTACCTCCCTGTGTCAGGGTTGCTGACTGCTAGATTTCCAAGCTATTAGTTCAATTTGACAGGTCACAAATAGATCTTCAGTGCTAAAAGATTCCAAAGTTGGAACTTGAAGCTGTCTTCCTGAGGAGGAAAGGAAGAGCACAATCTTGTCAAACACACAAATTGGAAACAACATGAATAATTAACGGATGATTACGGCGTTGAAAGAAGTTGTCATCTAGGCACCCAAAAGCTAGTCTGAACAACACTGAAGTCAAGGCTTTGGTATTTTGTTGAGACATACTGCTTCAAAAAGGAGATGTTCTGATCACACCTCTGAAGTGCCCGTATTTGGTCCATACTCTTATTGAAGGAATTAGCAACCCTGACTGCATGCAAGGAAGGTTTCTCACAGTACCAAGAACCTGAAGACATCCTGGGCAGCCCAGGGGATGCCAGGTGCTGTCTGCTCTCATTTTGAGTGGGTAAAGGCAGGTGAAGGCCTGCAGGGCAGCATGGAGACGCTAGACAGAAAATACCAAATGCATCAGTGTGTGCTTGATCTCCCTGCTACTGATCTCCTGGGAAGCAAAAAGCGGTGCTGAGATGGCAGCACCTTGAGGCAGGTGCAAGTGAAAGGCAGTGCGACGGTGTTGAGGTGAGCTTTACATCTTGGGCAAGGTGAGAGAAGCACAGTGTCAGCAGCTAATAAGTTTATAAAGGGGTTTCTTCCTCAAGCCAAATGCAGCCCAGATTTATAACTCCCCCACACCACTCTGAACTTTCCGACACTCCTCTTGAAACATTTCATTATTGCTCCATTACTGTCATGTTCTCTTAAGGACCTGGAGGGGGGAGAAGGTCTCCATTTGGAGACCAGATGCCATTTCTATAGATATTCACTAAACTGCCCAGTGCAATAAATCATCCATTCACCCATTGGAAACAGGCTTGGAGGATATCATAAGGTGTTTTTTTTAAAAAAAAGAAAAAAGTGAAAACTGTGACATGCCCTATGTGTAACAGAAACTATCCAGAAACAAAGATGTTGAATTGGTAGCAGGGCACCTTCTGCTGTTTGCAGCCAGACTGCCTATCTGACATGGAGAAAGCACAGCAGAAATCCTCAATAGCCTCCACACTATCTGCAGATGCACACCAAGACTCACGGCTATCTGCACAGCATCACAAATCCTGGCCAAAACAGGTCTGTAGCAACAGTTTGTAGCAGCTTCTCCCAGACACCCCTGGTTGGACTAACCCCAGAATGAGACTGGCACATCGGGGAGGACCAGTATGGAAGCACGATGCTCAGCCCACCCTCCAGGACACACCACCCAAGCTGAGCTCTGGAAAGCAAGTAACCAAGTATTTTCCAGACTTCAAAGCTGATTTGACCTCTTCTTCCTACGGCCAGAGCAGACCAGACTTCAGGCAGAATAACAAGCACTAAGCCCTCTCCAGTACTGATGTCCTGCACTCAGTATCCTTAACCAGAAGACCAGGTTCGAGGATCCCACTGAGCTTAAAACCCACTCTCAAGTTACATCTTAGAATGCATATATCAACTGACAGCTCTCTTCCATTCTCTGGACAGACACTTCTACAGCATATTACCATCCAAAATGTTCATACCGCTTTGATACTTGTAACATGTCTCCATTTCTACATATGGAAACCACATTATATATTCCAGATGGAAATTCATACTTTATTCCAGAGAAGGAAACGAGAGCTATTTCATAGTAGATGCATAATTTGTTGTGTGAATATGAAATACGTGACTGCCTCACATGTTATGTTGCGAGCTAATCATAAAAAAACATAATGAAAAAGGTCCCATCTGTCTCTAAATCCTATAATCCAACTGTTCTCAGCTAACTCCAGCTCTGGCAGTACCTGGTATACATACAGCAAGGAGAGTTTTCTGTGCCAGAGAAATACTGGAAACCAGAGGAGCATGTAAAAAGCTGAAGTTTCATCTGAGGCAGCCTTAGAGAGAGGGGACACCTTACGACACCTCTTCAGCTGGCTGAACTCATTCCCCAACTCTTCAAATCGTTCTTGACCTGCCTTTTTATCCGGGCTACCCTGTAATTATCTTCTTAACATAATTTCCTAGCATTTCCCCTAAGAGTCTTAATGGGATCACTGGGAAAGATCCAGCTACACATTTGAAAGTGTGAGGGCAGAGTGCTGTCCCCAGAAGACCATGGGAATACTGCTGCTCATGTCGTCAGGCTTGTGATTGCTAACTGGAGTTTGCTGGCAGCTGAAGCAGATCTGCAGTGCTGAGTGCTAAGCAGGTGGGTCTGCCCTGCTCTGCTTCTAACGCTGCAGTTTCATTTATCCACAGCCAAATTCCTGAGTTTGATCTTACAGTTTTACTGCAGTATCACCCAAGAAGCTGCTCCCCTGGCACCTCATGGACCACTCTGAGGTCTGGCTTGGACCTAACATTGGACAAGGGGCATAAATGGGATGGTTACAGGCTCTCTGTGTCCTGGAATCAGGGGGTGCCAAATCTTTTGACACACAGCAGCTTTCACTCCTCTCCATTAACTTCAGGGACTCCCTCCCCTTTGCTCACCCCCTGCACCACCAAGAATCCTGCCCTACAGCAGTGTGGCTACACTCATCCATCCATGGAGAAGATGCATCCCTCTTAGAGCTGAGCTGTGGCAGCAAATCCATGCAATGATGGTGGAACTCCACAGTTACATCACTGCTTCTCCATGCCCAGGACACAAGGATTTCAATGCCAGATGGAACAGCTCACTATAAAAGAGCCTTTTTTTTTTTTTTTTCCTAATCTCTAACAAAGTATTTCCAAACAAGAGCCCTTTTATTGTTATGCCACTTTCAAGTCATGATGAAGTTCTTAAACATCTGGGCCCGGGCCATTGCCTTTTGAATGTAACCAGTCCATCAGCAATTGCATTTCATCAGTATGAGTTCTGTCTGTCTTTCCCCAGGCCTGCACTCCATTCCCCACTCAAAATAGGCCTGATTTATCATCACTCCTCCCCTTCCCCCCGGTCTCTTTTCCTATCTTTCACAAGTCTGGCAGAAATGGCATGGCAGAGCCCTCTCCCCTGTGGGCTCCTCATGCTGAGGAAACACAAGGAGGACATTAGCAGGGAATTTGTTAAACGCATCTCCTAGGAGAACATGGGAAGCAGACCCTGTTATGCAGAAGGGCAAAAGAAACACAACCAAAAAAAAGGAAAAAAAAGCTCTGTCTACCACCACCAAACAATCTCCAACAGTCCTAACCAAATGAATCCGGATGGAAAATTCCCTCTTGATCCCATATGTGGGGACTGAGCGCAGTGCTTGGGCATTTACAAGGACGTGATGCCAACAGGTCTGAAGGGAGCTGCTCACCTCCTGCTGTGCTGGAGGCCCCAGCAAGAGCTTCCCTAGCCAAGCAGAAAAAAAAAAAGCAATAATAAATTATGCTTTTTTGTATAAATAGGGTTAAAAATTGATCCAATCTCTTTTCAAAAATGTTGGGGATATCAACAGATTGGATATGCAAGGACTCAAAAAAAGCTTTTTCAGGTCCTAGGCATTGCTGTTTTGTTACATAATCCCTTCCATAAATCTATCAGATTGCATCTTAAAACAACTCCCCAAGCCCATCCAAAGGCAGCTTGACCCTTCCAGTCACAGCAATTCCCTGAGAATTCCTGCCAACAAGGATGTCTGCAATACTTCTCAGGTTCTGTTCCCTCTAAGTTGTAGATCCAAGATGGAACCTTCTCAGGTTTCCATCCTTCCACGTTGTAGATCCAGACTGTCCCCACCAGACAGCAGCCCCTTCCCTCACCTCTCTTCATCCAAAGAGAAAAAGCGCCTGCCCAGGCAGTAAGACAGCCAAGACCAGGGAATCGCAGAATCACAGAACTGATTAGGCTGAAGGGGACCTTAAAGATCACCTTGTCCCAATCCCCTGCCATGGAGCAAGATCTAGATCACCCCTTGGCCATGCTAATATCTCTCCACCATTGAGGGTGATGACATTCTACCTTAGATACCACAGTTTGGTCCCCAAGTTTAATGGGATGAACCCCTGGCAGAGTGTCTCAGGCTACAGATTAAACCTGCTTACAGGAATACACAACAGCAGTTGCCTGAATTAAGATAATTTTGCTGGCTTGAGTCCACTTAACTAAAGAATGTACATCAGTGTAACCTAACTTCTCCTCAACTTCTCCCCAACACCTTTGTCCAAACTGTCTTTCACAAGCACAGCACTTACACCATCATTTAGAGGGTTGCATGTTAATAGTTGTTCAAGACATCCAGTCTATTGCAACCAACTAAAGACAGAGATATATTTCAGCAAGTTTTGATCCCATAGGATTCTTCTTTAGTTACAAACTATGCTGATGTTTTAATCAAGAGGTCAATGCATTACTGAATTAGAAACTAACCTGTAGGTGTCGTGACCAACCAGATGACATAGAGATGTTTCTGACAGGATCTGCCTTCCATCACACCACAGACTGAAACCAGTGAATTTTGCTGTCTGTTGAGAGAAAGGCAAATTAGCAATGATGTTAATTCACACCTGTCACAGCTCCTGTGGATGTCCCCACACCCTCAGAACATGCCCACTGCATGCCCATTTCATCTGGAAATCTTCCCAGATTAGGACGTTTCCAAGTGCCTGCTTACTGCTGACAGCAAAAATCATATAAGGGAATACCCCAAAGAATAGGTAACATGGAAAGGGTAGCATGGAAAGGAAGGGAAAAGGGGCTGTGGTGAAAGTGCACGACTGGCCTAATCTATCATGTACATTTGGTCACCCCTGATCTTCAGTTTGTTTTGGTTTTTATTTCAGCTTCTGAGCTCCTCAGGAGAACAGCCACTGACTTCTATGTGTTTTCCAATCTCACCTCAGCAGCACCAAACAAAATGCTTGCACAGGTGGGATTTACTTCTGCCTTGGTCACCTCTTCTCTTGATTTGGTTGTAAATCCCTTCTGGATCCTTTATAACACAAGAAGTAGGGAAAGGAAGAATCCTTTTACCTCGTGGACTTGGGTAAAACAAAGCACCTAATTTCAAGAGCAGTTGCTTGCCTTAGGAAGCACGCATTGACTTTTACAAATAGCAGACAGCATCCTGAGGCTTTTGGATAACTGCTGTAATGTTTTCTGGCTGGATGGTAAACAGCCAGGTAACCATCTCAAAGCAGGGTTTGAGGTTCCTCCCGTTTTCCACAGAGACCATAATCCAAGATCCTACCAGAGAAACAAGTGATTTATCATAGCAGGAGTGCCTCGTTAAGATTTATTACAACCCCTTGTGATAGCTCAGGAGAACTGCTTGCAGGAGTCATCCAGCATACCAGAACGAGCAAGACAGCCCTTCAGGTGGAACTGTGCTATCCAAATCCCTTTACACTGACCTGCAATCCAGAAATGCTGCGACAGCCACAGCAGCTGTCCCACATTAACAGATGTGAACAACTTTTAACAAGAATCAGGCACAGAGCTGTTCCAAGCCTCTGCCGTAAAACTGATGAACTGAGAGGAATACAGCAAAGAGAAACGGGGAAAACACAGCATCATGCCACAGCTATTTGATGGTGATTTACGTCCCATTCCACCTTATCTTAGCTCAGCCTCTCAGAACGCTACACGTGCTGCACAGAAATGGCACTTCATTCCTCGCTGTGCCGTTCTGCTTCCTCAAACGGCGGTCCTGCTGCACGAGAGCAGCGCTTGCTGACACCCACAAGGCACACATGCAGCTGTTGGATGCACTGGTGGCACCTGCACGGCCACAGCACAGCCCATGCACAGCTTCGAGACGTGCGCAGTGCGAAGCACGGCATCCACTGCCCTTGTGAGCATCGCTGCCTCAGCTGTGCTGACGTCTTCATCCACAGCCACAAGCAGCCTTCCCTGCACGGACAGCTGGGGAAAGAGGAGATCCCTGGCACGGAGATGACAGCCAGAGCTGCCAGTATTCAGAACCAGACTTTCCGCTGTTTTGTCTCCAAGTGACATTTTTGTTTGCTTGTCTAAAAATTGAGATTGTAAAGGAAAGAGGATGAATGCATGGCAGAAAGCACTGTGCAATGAAGCACAACATTCTGGGGGTAAAGTGAAACATTTCGGTTGTCCCATTGTTATTTGGTTTTCCATGACAAAAAAAAAAACACAAGCAAACTAAAAGCAGCAAGTTTTCCATTTAGTGTGAACACATTTCCCTTCGTGATACAGCAGATATCTGCATTTCCCACACCTATCCCATAGCATGTTGGAGGGAGGCTGATTGCATCTACTTACAGCATCAAACTCAAGTCTTCTGAACTGTGACAGGTAACCAGTCAGTATCAAGTTCTCCCCATAGCAATTAGAGTGACTTTAAAAGGCTGTAGAACCCAGAGCAGCTACCGCCTTTCAATGGTGAAATAACTACTTTTGTAGTGAGCTCAACAACACAAGGGAAAGCTGCCCAGTATATGAAAAGATCCAGGACACCATTTTTGAGCTTGTTTCTCCCATCAGTGCATAATACTATCCAGCTCACACATAGCTGAACTAAAGCATCTCTTCTAGGAAGATATCCAGGTTCAAGGTGAGGCATCCAAGCAGGAATGAATTTCCCCCTCCCCTCGTTGAGCAGCTGCTCCACTGGGTAATTACCATGCTGCTCCACAGTTGTCTCATTTCCAACCTGAGTTCAATTTCCATCCACTGGATCTTCTTATATCCGTTACACATCAGAAATCCTCTCCTGGTGCAGGGAATCACATTGTTTCTGAACTTTCTCTTCAATAAGATGCAGGCACTGAGCTCTTTAAGCCTTCGTGAGCTCCAGACCCTGGCTCATCCCACTACAGCTGAGGTATCCTCCAACATATATCCAAGATGAGAACAAAAGTCACCACCCCATGTGTAGAGTCATAAACTTCATGCTTTGCCAACCAGAATCGCTCACTGAAACTGTTCCAGCTGCAAACCCCACCTTCCTGCCCCAAATGGGATGTGTCAGAAGGGAAGGGCAGGCTCCAGAGCTCCTCAAAGCAGGCATTTACTGATGCTAGGGGTCCATCAGCCCACAATTCCGCTCTTTACCGTGCCGTTGTGCCACTTCCCTGAGTTGCATGAGCTATTTGAAATGGTTTCACTCAAAACGGCACCCATCCCTGGGGAAGCCAACAATTCTCCTCAATTCTTTAGGCACTTGCTTTGGGAGAGATCCAAGGAAAGGTTTTGTGAACAAATCCTTCTCTGGATACCGCTGACATCCAGAGTGAAGACATCCCAGTCAATGCCATTCCTTCTTGGAGCCCATTCCTCTACTGTCAAGTTGTTGTCCAAAGAAAATACATTAAAATCAACGCCCTTAAGTATGACAAGCCCTGAAAAAATGTGCTCTGCAAACAGAGACAGTCGATCCAAAGCTGCTCAGGAGGCAACCCCCAGCTGCCAGGCTGCCTGTCACAACACTCACACACAGTTTTTCTCCAGTAAAATACTGCTCACCTTGCTGGACCCAGCAAGCTGCTGCTTGATGGTGAAAGCAGTATTAAAGAAGCTTGGAGCGGACTGTGCCTTGCTGTATTTGTTCAGTTCAGAGCAAGGCAAATCTAGCCCTTGACTCAGCAGCCCTGCAGAAAGCACATCCTGACATGGAGGGAGCTCAGTGCTTCCCAGGGGCTATGCTGGTGGTCTCAAAGCAGATTTTGTTATCTCAGCAGCAGCTGCAATTATGGACCCTAAAGAAGCATATAAACAAAACAAGAATTGAATGATTTCATGAGTGAATTTAGGGCTTGTGACAACAGAAGTGCAAAAGTAATGTATCCAGGAAGGGCATGGGGGAACGCTGGAGTTTTCCAGCAGTTCGACCAAGGCAGGAGCAGGGAGCTGCTGAATCAGCCCTGGAGCCAAAGCAGTGAGCTGCCATCCTCTCTGGTCCTCCAGCAATTCCTCGAAGATTTCACCCAGTTCTGCCAACACCCAAACTGAGCCCCCACTAAACCCCAGCACCTACAGATACCAAAATACAGCCTTACTCCTGAGCCCAATCTTACACCTCTCCCTCTACATACATCGTGCCCCTCTATCCAAACCCACCACGTCACCTCTCTCCCAACCTGCAGCAACCTTCCTGCGTGCAACTTTCAAACAACAGCGAACCATGAAACAGGGACACAAGAGGAGCAGCAGAGCTAATTACTGCTTTAAACAGAGACAGTCTAACCATTAAGAGAAACTATTAAGAGAAACGGTGGGTTATCCGCTGCCTGCTCTGCCCAGACAGAGTGGCAAAGATGTTTCAGCCAGAAGTGAGTTCGTGGGCTCAGCTGTGAGGTTAATGGACAACATTTCACAGCCTGATGCTCAGAAGGTCAGGCAGATAAAGCCTTCGATGTTTCCAGCTCTACACCCACATCTCCGAACAAATGGATGAGGGAATAACAAAGAGGCTCCTCCGGGCTGCTCTACTCCCAAGTTCAATCATGGGAATGTTGGGTTAAGTCTATAAAACAGTAGCATTTTCTCTTGTGTTTGGCATGGCAGGAGGCCAGGACTGATCTCTATTCAATGCTGTGTATCACGTTTCAGTGCTCTCTGGGTAAGGTTATCAGCACTGACCTGCCAGTCTCACACATTCCTCCCCAAGAACAAAACTGTCCATCAAACATTTCTTTGCTCTGGAGATAAATCTGGCACCCAGGTTCTGTGCATGCAGAAAACTGCTTCCCCCAGGCCTAGCTGGCCCTGCAAGGAAACATCAGCACTGGAGGGGGTTCTGTTGGTGTGAGCACCGACCTGCTACCTGAGCCACCAGAGCCCTCTGGAACGTGCAGTGCAGTTCTGCAGAGGTAACACAAGAAGGTGGTGATGTAGCCTTGCAAAGAGCCAACATCTCCCTGCACCATCTTCTGTGCACCGCCAGCTCCTGCTGCAGCAACACCTCTCTGACGCCTGCAAAGTAATTAGCAACAGCTCTTACTGCTGTCCCCTAATGGGAGATGGCCTCGTTAATTACACTACACTGACTCAGCTTAGCGTGCTTGGAGATAATAAAAACACTGTTAGTCCTCCTTCCAAAATAAGCAGCCAGCTCTCGTTTTACAGACACTTACAGAAAGATCCCGCGATAAAAATATGACACCTTGTGTTTCAAGACTTTCTGTCATGCCTCGGAGTACCTCATGCCTAAATATTCCCTAAAAGAATCTGCTCACCCACTGCTGAACTGCCTGCACCAAACAGAACGCTATTTTAGGGTACCCAGCAGAAACAGCAGATCAGATTGAGGTGAAGGGGATGGAAGAACTCCGCTCAGACTGCGATGAAGCACTGGTTTAACATCCACCTGCACTGCCTTACGAGCACGGAGCACCCTTAGCAGCAGGACCCTCATGGAGCTCAGCTGCATGAACCTGGTTGCTCATACAGACTAATTACATACTGTTCAGGATGTTAACACCTTTCATTTACAAACCACGTCGCTTTCCAACAGTCTGTCATCTGTACTCCCTAAAGAGCCAAGGAA